CGCCGTGGAAGCCCCAGAGACAGGCGCCAGGTCTAGCTGGACAGTCAGGACGCCTGGCGGTTGCCTTACAGGAAGCCATGGCCCGGGAGCCTGGTGGCGGCCATGATCTGGGCGGGACTAGCGGAGGCCTCCGCCAAGGAGCCTGGGCTCGGGTCCGTGGGCAGTTTGCCTGGTGCCCGTTCCCGTGGGAGCACCCGGGGTGACGGCCTAGTTGGGTCCTCGGCCCCGGGAGGCTCCCTCGGCCACACTGCAGGCCAGTGAGGAGGGGCCACTGGCAGAGCTGAGTTCCGTGGCCAGTGGCGCCGGTGCCCGCCGGGGCTGGCCGGCGCCGGGGCGTTCCTCCTTGCGGCCTAGGAAGGAAGGTGGGCCGCAGGGCATCCTGCGGGGCCCGTACCCAGACGGTTCCCGACCAGGTGGACGCCAAGGCGAGGCCAGGCCCGGCCCGGCCCGCCTGAGACACCAGGCATCCGCCTCGTTGAGACCTGCGACCCTGTCTTGTGGTGTGCATGCCCCCAAGTTGTCTTGGAGGCCGGCCATTCCCGGTGGTGCTCATTTCTGCCTGGGGGCCTTCCGGGGACCCCGGTTGTCTTTGGGGGTGCGCAGGCCCTTGGCCTGTGATCAGAGGCGCACCGACCGATGGGTTCGGTGGCAAAGCTTGCGTACTGGAGACTCTCTGGGCATCAGCCGAGGGGGACCGCTGCTTTCCTAGGCCTGCTGGAGTCCCAGGAGGAAGGACCCGTCGGACTCTGCCTGCCTGGGGACAGCCTGCTCAGCGCTAGAAGGGTCTGCTGCTCAGGCAGCATCCCTGTGCCTCTCCTCCAGTGGGTCCCTGAGGTAGAATCGGGGCAGGTCCAACGGGACGTGCAGGGAGGAGGCTCAGAAGATGCACGTTTTGCAGGACCCGGTCTGGTAGAGCAGCGGACGGGGCCATTTCCCGAGGCTTTCTGGCGTTTCTCAGAGTGTCCAGGAGTCCCCAAGTGAACGGGGGCTCGCGTCCAAAGGGTGGAGATCAGCACCACGTCGCTGAATTCAGGAGTAGAAAAGGCACACAGAGGACCCTTCTGAGGTGACAGGTTGAATGTCCGGGTTTCTTGTTTTTTTTTCTTTCTTTCTTTCTTATTTTTTTTTCTTTAATAGACAAAAAAGGTATAAGGAGGTGATGGGCCTCTTAGGCCCGAAACCTTAAAAGCACAGGACCCAAGCAGAAAAAGTCCTGAGGGTTCATGGTCCTCCGTTCCACCTGAATCCAGCTAGAGAGCGAGCCAGGTGGATCCGTGTGCCCCTCCTCGTCCTTGTGCAGACACACTGTCATGCAAAGTGATATCCACCTTCCACCTCAACGCACATTTAAGGTTGAGCGCGGTCCAGCGTTCCCAAGAGGAACGGGATGACGTTCAAGTGGGACTTGCCTCACCTTGGCTTGGGGGACCGCGAAAGCAGGCCCCTGGGTTGGTGTTGCTGGTGGTGGTAGAAGCGGAGGGCGTGGCCGGGTTCTTGAGTTCTGGGGCATTTCTCTTGCCGCCTCTCCGCCTATCTGCGCCATGTCTCACACGTTCAGTTGCATCTCTTAGCGTTTTAAAGGCACACGTGGGCAAGAGGTCCCGGGCAGTAGGAGAAAATCAATCACGTTGAGACAGAGAGAGCAGGAGAGGAAGTAGGCCCAAGTAGAAGTGGGCGAGAGAGCACTCGGCGCGAACCTGGCACGAGAGAGAGAGTGATTATGGGATTGAGAGAGACAGAGAGAGAGAGCGAGAGAGAGAGACAGACAGAGAGAGAGAGAGAGAGAGAGAGAGAGAGAAGAAACTGTGTCGTGGAAAATCCCAAGGGAAAGTCCATGGGGGTCAAAGAGTCCGGAAAGGGCCAGGGAGGCAGCAGCTTGGCATAGTGTGTCCCTAGTGTTTTGTCTGTCTTGGGAAGAGCATTCAATGTCACTGTGCTCCTGCAGCAGACGTCAGGCCTCTGCCCACGCCTTGACTGCCCGACGAGGTCAACATCGGGTTTCCGTCAGAGAATAGGTTTGGGGATGAAGATCGGTACACTTGGGGCTGGGCCATCTACCGCACCTCCGTGGCACACACGAGCCCTCAACGGCATGCACGCCTCTGTGGGATTTGTACGTCCAGCCTTCGGGGCAGGGCCGTGGAGAGTTGGACGTAGGCCAGGTGTGAGGAGGACAGGTGTGTTTGGGGTGGCAGCTGGCTCCCCTCCCGTCTGACCTAAGCTGGCGAGGGCTCTTCCACCAGCACCTTGCCGCTGCTGCCACCAGAGAAGGGCCCGGGACCCGGTCCCGCTATTCCGGAATTGTAGGTTCACCTCAAGTCTGAGGCCAAAACCCCAGGGGTCAGTGGGACGCCAGTCGCCTTTGACCTCTTGGTCAAGCTGGCCTTGCAGTGACCCGTGAG